AGATTCCAAATACCACACCTAAGTAAAACTAGAAACTCCTCTCCAATACATCTTGTCAACTGTGTCCTTGTATCATTTTTTCTAGGGGAGACTTGATGTATAGTATACAATGTTACCAGGCCAACTTGTTTGGATTTTATTGTGGACAAGGAAAGCGACATGATCAGATTTTTATTTCAAAACCAGCACCCTTCACAGTGTGGAGAGTGAACTGAAGAGAGGAACGGAGAAGAGGACGCTGAGGAAAGCAGACTGGCTAGGGGGCTATTGCACCAAAACAGGTGAGATACACTGAAGGTAACAGCAGTAAGACAGTGAACAGTAAATAGATTAAGGAGACATTAGAGAGGTTGAATTGATAGAATTTGGTTACTAAAGCTGTTGAGGAGAATTAAGAGTTGAAAATGATTCTTTGGTTTCTGGCCTTAACTGAATAACGAAGTACATTCATTAGATGCAGTCTCTGAGTCAGGGAACATGAGAGGAAGTTTATCAAGTGGGGAAATAAATAAAGAAATGTCAGCTCAATTTTGAAATCAGCCAACAAAAGAATAAATTTATGCTGTTACACCAAAATATAAGTGTACACAGATGAGGTCTAGGGTTATTTTTAGAGATTATGCCAATAGAAGTGGTAGGTTCAAGAATGAATTCCAAAATAGTTCTGGGTAATATACCAAAGCCTCTCAGTGTTGCTGATAATTTAGCAAATATTCTTTACCGATCCTAAGTCCTTAAAAAGGGTACGATAGTCTAAATGTTTGGGTCTCCTCAAAATTCCTATGTTGAAGCCTAATCTCCAATATGGTATTTAGAGGTGGGGCCTTTAAAAGGTGATTAGGGCATGAGGGCTCTGTCCTCATGAGATTAGTGCCCTTACAAGAGGTCTGGGTGAGTTTGTTCACCTCCCTCCCTTACACCATTTGAGGACACACAGAAGGTGCCATCTATGAAGCAGAAGCTATCACCAGACACCAAAGCTACTACTGGCACCTTGATCTTGGATTTCCCAGCCTCCAGAAATATGAGAAATAAATTTCTGTTGTTTATAAATTACCCAGTCTAAGGTATTTGTTCTGGCAGCCCCAATGGATTAAGACAAGGGCTAAACATTTTTTCAACAGTCTATTTAAATAGCTAACAATTTAGAAGTAGCTAAAATATGCACAAAAATGACCCAGGATGGCCAGGCATGGTGGCTCATCCCTGTAATCTCAGCACTTTGGAAGGCCAAGGAGGGAGGATCACTTGAGGCGAGGAGTTCAAAACCAGCCTGGGCAACATAGCAGAACCCCCTATCAAAAAAAAAAAAAGGTTTTAAAATAACCAACCAAGGGTGGGGGCCCGGAATCCTAGCTACTCAGGAGGCTGAGATAGGAGGATTGTTTAAGCCCAGGAGGCTGTAGTGAGCTATGACCACACCATTGCACTCCAGCCTGGGTGACAGAGCAAGATCCTTTTAAATCGTAAGCTAAAAGGGTATGATGATGTTAATATATTTGTTCATCCTTATCTCTTAAACACATGTTAGTATGTTAGCACCTTCAGCTATAAATGATTGAGAAGTAGAGGACAGCTTAGGGGTAAGTACCACCTTATTATTCAAGCCTCAAGACAGCATTCTTAATGAACATAATTTAAGGGGCCAGGTAAATTAAACAGGTAACATCATCACATGGTCTTTTCTCAACTCAAAATATGTGAACTCCAAAACAAACCAACCTGACAGCAAAAATGAATAACTATTTTCAACGTGATGAAAATGCTCTAAAACTGATTGTGGTGATGGTTATACAACTCAATGAAAATATGTATGCTAATGTAAATTATACCTCAATAAAGCTGTTATTTTAAAAATGAGTAACTTTTAATCCACTATTAGATTTTAAATGCTCTAATTTTATATTAGGCTTCTTAGGCTTTACTAGATTTTAAAAGAACCAAAAAAAACAGAGAAAAGTATATTTTATTGGCATTTAGGCCTAGCACAGTCCAATTCAAATAAAACGGAACAAAGTAATTCATTTAGGCTAACTGAATATATCATATGAACAATTTTTTTCTTAAGTTTCTGTTTTACCATCATATGATAGTGTTCATGCAAATACAATCATCAAAACTGTCCTTCTAATAACATATCATAGCACCACCTTTTATTTGCAGTACTTGATACATAAATTTCATTGTCAAAACACATCTGGATTTAGCAATGTAAACATATTTGCTACAAGTAAACTTTAAATGATAAAACTGAATGACACTAATGAATAAATCAAAATAGAACTGAGCATCACGTGACATAATTAACAAACATTATATAATACTGTCTCAAAAAGAACCACGACTTAATAAATTTCACAAAAAGGAAGCAGAAACAAAGAGTAATGTGTAAACTCCCAAAGTAGTGTTAAAATACTGAAGGATATAATGTAAAATTTACCTCAGAAAAACAAGGGGAAACAACAAAACCATGCAGTGAAAACCAAATTGTTTTAGTAGTTACAAGAGTCATTTTACTGCAAAGGCTTAATAAAATGCACTCTGACAAAATGATTTATTTTCTATCTCCCTTTTAAAAAATTATCATGTTTTGCCACTTAAGTTGGGTACTTTGTAGAAATTTCACATTTATTGTCAGTGTGGGATCATTACCCCCCAAAACTTTTCATCTCTAAACTATTTTTCCAAATAACCAAAAACCATTAAATTATCTTCATGAAAATTACCATTATAAAGTCAAATAATTCCTAAACAAATCGTCATAAAAATAAATCTGCTTTAACAAAAGTACAGAAAAAGTGTATACATAAGTGCTGAAAATCACAAAAAAAAATGGAATAAGCAAAAATGTTCACATTTATCATTACTATTTTTCTTTTCTTACTTTCTGGCTAAAATTAAGAAACAAGTTTCTAAAATGTCAGCAAGGACATTCAGTGCCGCTTTGGATTTGTCTGCAATATTCAAATGAGTGTGATATCGGCAGTACAAGGCAGACTTTATTTTGATCCTTAAACATAATTCACTTATAAAGACCTTAAATTTCTAAAACCAGTTATAATACTGTGGCAAGCAAAACAAATTTGTTCTTATTGCTCTCATTATATTCCAGCTTAATCTACAAACGTGAACATTTTTCCATATGTTGTCTTAAACTATACTAAAACAAAAAAAAGTCTAGAGAGAGATCTCTGTTGGTTTCCACAGATAAATTGAAAGAGGAAAAAAATGAAATTGGAATATTATTTTATCTTCTTAAATGTCCTTAAAATGTTTAAGCACTTCAGGCAGCACTTGACACAGCAAGTTTCTTCAAGTGATCCATAAACACTTGTAAACTAACATCATCTGTTAGAATAGGTGCTCCAGACTCCTAGAGGAAAAGAAAGATTAGCTATGATTAAAACGGAGCCTTGGAAAGTATACGCAAATGTTTAAAATAGACAAGAAAATCACT